AAGAAACTTCAAGATGTACTGAAGACACTGGCAAAGAACAAGGCTCTGGGAATTGATGGCATACAGATTGAAATCTTTCACAAACCGATGCAGCACTGAAGCCATTCACTTATCTATGCCAAGAAATCTGGAAGTCAGCTACCTGGCCAACTGATTGGAAGAGATCCGTGCCCATTTCAAAGAGAGGTGACCCAATGAAATGAGGAAATCTGTGGACAATAACATTAATATCATCACATGCAAGTGAAATTTTGCTGAAGTTAATTAAAAAACGGTTGCAACAGTATATTGACAGGGAACTTCCAGAGGTTCAAGATGGATTCAGATAAGGATGTGGAATGAGGGATATCATTGCTGACATCAGATGGATCTTGGTTGAAAGCAGAGAATACCAGAAAGATGTTTACCTGTGTTTTATTGACTGTGGGAAGGCTTTCCATTGTGTGGACCGTGACAAGCTATGGACAACATTGTGAAGAGTGGGTATACCTGAACACTTAATTATGCTCATGAGAAACTTGACCAAGAAGCAGTTGTTCAAACAGAATAAGGGGACACTGAATGGTTTAAATTAGGAAGGGTGTGCACCAGGGTGTATTCTTTCACCATACTTAATCTGTATGCTGAGCAAATAATCCGGAAATTAGATTATATGAAGAACATGGCATCAGGATTAATAACCTGTGATATGCAGATGATACAACCTTGTTTACTGAAAGTGTTGTTAAATTCCATCAAGTCAGTTCAGACTCAGAGCAACACTATATAGGATTTCTGAGGAGCAGCTGGTGAGTTCACAACACCGATCTTACAGTTCAAACCAACTTTGCAGTCCAGGCATTCTCCTGCAGCACCACATCAGGTGAAGAGAACTTAAAATACTTGCTGATGAAGATTAAAGACCACGGACTACAGTATGGATTGTACCTCAATATAAAGAAAACAAAAATCCTCACTACTGGACCAATCAGTAACATTATGATAAATAGAGAAAAGATTGAAGTTGTCAAAGACTTCGTTTTTGCTTGGATCCACTAACACTCATAGAAGCAGCAGTCAAGAAATCAAACAACATGTTGCATTAGGTAAATCTGCTACACAAGACCTCTTTAAAGTGTTCAAGAGTAAAGATGTCAGCTTGAGGACTAAGGTGTGCCTGACCGAAGCCATGTAATTTCCAATAGCTTGATAGGCCAAATAAATCTCTGTTGGAAGAAGTACAGCTAGAATGTTCCTTGGAAGTCAGGATGGCAAAACTTCTTCTCTCATACGTTGAACGTATTATTGGGAGGAACTAGTCCTGGAGAAAGGTCATCATGCTAGGTAAAGTGGAGGGTCAGTAAAAAAGAGAAAGACCCCCAGTGAGACAGATTGACTCAGTAGCAGCAGCAATGGATTCAAGAGTTACAATGATTGTGAGGAAGATGCAGGACGGGGCAGTATTTCATTCTGGTGGACATAACTAAGGTCACTAGGAGTTGGAATCAACTCGGTAGCATCTAACAGCAACAACTGCCGTAAGTACTACTGCCCCAAACAGACTTCCCAGCCCTTTTGTCCCACTGCAAAGGGAAAACCCAAGGTGCCTAGACCTCCTGAGTGCCAAACAAGAGGGCCATCTGAAATGCTGGTGTGGAGGCTGAGAAATTAAAGACCAGTGACCGGGTCACCAGTTCTACCTTCCACCAGGCAAGTGCTTTCCAAAAACCTCATGGGGCACCTGACTCTCACCTACAAGGTTATTTAAAAGAACCCTTACAATAGCGATAGATATTATTTAAAGCAAGTAATGTGGAAAGGAGTCCTGATGTGGTACTGTAGGGTAAGCACTGGACCACAAGATCGCCAGTTCAAACCCACCAGCTGCTCCTTGGAAACCCTATAGTTGGTCGCTTTACACTGGAACCAACTTGATGGCACTTAACAGTGTGGAAAGAGTTCAAAGAATTGTAGAGCATTGCTTTCTAATAAAACATGAGAAGCCTTCCAAAAGTATGTGGAATTAAAAAATAATGAGGTTACAGAGAAGCAGCGACACTAGAGATGGAGGCAGAGATGAGGACATGGAGAGAGAGCAGCTGAGGACTCTAGACTCCTGGAAAGAGAAAAGACTGTTTGCTGGTGTAATCACTGCAATGAAACAATAAGTGTAAAACCGATGTAAACTATCACTCAATTCACAATAAAAACTTAAAAAAAAATAAAATATTGGGATTATCCCCACACATTTTAAAGCCCCTTCGTACTTTTTATTTTTGCCCCTTCAGAACTTACTTTAATGAAGGAGCTCTGGTAGCTCTAGTTAGCGTAGTGGTTACAAATCGGACTTCTAACCTTCATGGTCAGCAGTTCGAAACTACCAGCTGTTCTGCCGGAGAAAGATGAGACTTTCTGCTCCCATAAAGATTTACAGCCTCAGAAACCCTATGCAGGGTCGCTATGGGTCAGAACTGAGTTTGTGGCACATAACCATCAACCACTTACTTATGGGAACAAGATTTTTAAAAACAAAACTCAAACAAAATGAACAGACTGATACTGACTCTTGTTTCACTCCAGGAAAACAATATTCGTATCGGTACATGAACGAGAAAGGGAGATGCTCTGTCCACCTCATTGAGAGATCATTCCAGCAAAATGCTACTGGGCTACTTACTCCTTACTAAAATGTGGAATGTGTTGGCTTAGTTTTTACTTGAGTAACATACTGCTGGATTGGCAATGTAGGATCAGCACTAGACTGTGAACCACAAGGTCAGCAGTTCAAACCCACCAGCTACTCCTCAGATGACACTTAACACCACCGTACCGCTAGCCACTGTAACAAGGAGACCCTGGTGGTACGGTAGTTAATCACTTGGTTGCTAACTGAATGATCAGTGGTTCAAATCTACCAACGACTCGGGGGAGAAAAACCCCGGCGATCTGCCCCTATGGGATTGTTGTTGTTGTGAAGTGCCACAGAGTCAGTTCCGACCCATAGCAACCCTATATAGGGTTTCTGAGGAGCAGCTGGTGAGCTTGAACCACCAACCTTGCAGTTCCAATGGCTTTGCTGTCTGACACATTAACCCGCAGCGTCACACCAGGACTCCTATAGGATTATAGCCTAGGAAACCTTATGGGCAGCTCTACCCTGTTATGTAGGGTGGCTGTCAGTTAGAATAGACTTGATGGCATACAACGTATGGGAGTAGTGGTGGTCCAGCCTTCCATGCTAGAGACCCAGGTTCGATTCCTGGCCAGTGCACCACATGCCCAGCCACCACCCATCTGTCAGTGGAAAATTGCCACTTAAAACCTGTGGATCACATGGCGTGATCCACAGCCTACCACAGGAATGGCAGCAGGACCAGGCAGGGTTTTGTTCCATCGTACCTGGGGTCACCATGAGTCAAGGGCTGATCCCGTGTCCGCTAACACCACCACCAATCACTATAACAGTGAATCCAAAATACATCTTGAATACTCAGGAAGTTAAAATTTTCAATTTATTCTTACATTTTTGCTGACGTGAACTATTATGAGAGTGACAAAAGACTTTGAAATATGAAAGTATGAAAAAGTACAAAATTCCTGGGGAGAAGCAGGAAAGAAGTATAAATTAATGTAGAGAAGGGAATGATGCAGGGTGTCTGCAGGGGAAACAGCTTGATCATGCATTTTTTAAGTGGATGATGGTGGGTATCAAATCACTATGGTATTTAGATTCCAGTGAATACACATGAAGGGATGATGTAACAGTTTTATTTTAAGATGTCAATATTTACATTATTCTGGGAGTGATATTCTTTGCAAGTATTTAGACTTGCCACGGAAATATTAAGATGTCAACTCTAAAATGTGCCAAGGATTGCATGGTTTTTTCAAAATCATTCTGTGGGTGCGCCGGATGAACAGTTAAGAGACCAAGACTTCTGTGGTCCCATACAAGGGACAGCTCTGGCCCTCGCTGTCCACATCTCTTGGGGCTCCAGCCCAAGTCGTGGAGGCCTCCCTTGAGGAGTGTTTGATTATTTGGGGACTAATTACTCAACCCAAGTTATCTTACCACATCCTCACACCGGTCCATTGAGGCAGGTTCTATCACTGGCTGCACGTTACAGATGAAGAAACCAAGGCTAAAGAGAGGTTTAAAAGTGCCCATGGTCACACAGCTGGAAGAGGCAGAGCTGAGATTCAAACCGAGGCTAAGAGACTGGGCCTTTAACCTCTCCCTCACACTGTCTCCTATTCAACACCTGTGTGTACTGCTGAGTCTACCCTCCTGCCAACACTAACTCTGTGGCTGAGCAAGTGGCTTAAAACCTCAATTTCTGCAGCTGTAAAAGGGTGATAATACCTATCCCATAGGATGGTTGGGAGGGCGAGATGAGATGGGCAGAAGAGCCAAATGGTGTGCCCTAGCCATCTGTTACAGGGTCTGGAAGGGTCAGGGGAATTCCTCTTTGGAAAATGGAGCCTCCTGAAGGTTTGATTTCAAAAAGAGCACCAAGGCCCGCTTCCTCCTTCCTGGCCATGCACACACCCACAGAGTAGGCCTTCTCTAGGGAGCAGGGAAAACTCTGGCTGGGTCTCCAAAGTTGTCATCTCTCTCCCTTTCTTTCTCTGCAGTTGGATCCACAGACGGTGGAAACTAAGAACTGGCACACAGATGTGATCGAGATGAATGGGGTGAGCTGAGAGATATGTAGTGTCTGTGAAGTGGGTACCTCCACCCGTTACTGCCCATCCCTGCCCCTCTCCCCTGCCCACCCCATCCCACAGCTGTTCCAGAGAAGCTGGGTGCCAGAGGTAGCCCTTGTCTGCAGTCCTGGGGAGGGAGCCCTGTGTGTTGTGAGCTGCTAATTGGGCACTCATGCCCTGCCTCACCCCTGACCAGATTAAAGTGGAATTCTCCATGAAATTCACCAGCCGAGACATGAGCCTCAAAAGAACACCATCCAAGAAGCAGACAGGCGTCTTTGGTGTGAAGATCAGCGTGGTGACTAAGTACGTGTTGCTTCTGAGGTCTGGGGACAGGGATGGCTGCCCAGGTCCCGCCAGTGCCTGCCTTCAGGCCCGCCTGGCCCCTGACCAGTCACCATCCAGGGTGGTTAGCACACATAGCCAATTTGAAGGGCAAATGTGGTGGTGCATAGAGCAGTGTGCCCTGGCTCCCATGTTGCTTTAGAAATGAGTGAGCCAACACTGAGCCATCTCCCAGTTTCATGGGAAAACCCCCATTTGTCGGCTCCCTGTGATATGTGGGAAGATCTGACGCAATCCAAATCCTGGCTGCCCCTCTGGGAAGGGCACGGTCCTCAATTCACCACAACCACCCCCATCAGGTTTCCTTTATCTCCAGGACCGGCTGCCCCACCATACTCATGTAGCTTACCTACCAGGGGACCCCATAAACATTTGAATCTGAGACCTCTGCACTAGAGGAATTCTTTCCCCAGAGTCTCCCAGGTTATCTGCTACCTGAGGCCCCGAAAGCCTCAGTCCAGGTGGAGGTGTTGAGTCTTAGCCCTTTCCTGCCTCACCCTCCCAATCTGAGCTCTCCAAGGCTAAGGAGTGTTGGTGGGGGTGGCAAGAGGGTAGCCCCTCCCCCTGACCTGCCTGCCCCTCCTCAGGCGGGAGCGCTCCAAGGTGCCTTACATCGTCAGGCAGTGTGTGGAGGAGGTGGAGAAGAGAGGCATTGAGGAGGTCGGCATCTACCGGATATCAGGGGTGGCCACGGACATCCAGGCACTGAAGGCCGTCTTTGATGCCAGTGAGTCCAGGGGTCCCAGCCGAGATGCTGGGGGCTGGTGGGCGCACTGCTCAGCGGAAACTGGAGGGCTGGGTTAGCTGACGGCAGAGGCACCTTAGTCTGTGGCCCATAGTCCAGCATGGCATGGTGGGGATGTACCTTCTGGAATCAGACCATCCCACCCCCTCCAGCCTCTTACCCATTGCTACAGGTAAGGAAACTGAGGCTCAGAGAGGCCAAGTAACTTAACCAGTATCACCCAGCTGGTAGGCTCTGCATCTGGATTAAACACAGATCTTTTTGACTCCAGAGTCTCTCTTCCTGGGCTCCTGGGGACCTCGTGACCTTAGGGAAAACTAAAGTGCTTTGAGTTTGGGCTGGCTGGCTGAGCTTCTCCCTAGCTCCTTGAGGGCCTTTAGTACCTTTCAGGAGGTTCAGTTCTGCCTTTAGCATAGCTGGGGGAGGGGAAAGGGGGGCATTTCCCATTCTGGTTTCTTCTCCCTGCTGGTTCAGGTGCAGCAGCAGGGAGACCCAATAGCCCAGAAGCCTGACTGACCAGGGGGAGTGACCAGGGACAGAGGACAGGACAGGATGCTGGGGACGTGCTGACACTTGGCTCCCCTGTGTAGCCTGAAAGCTGAAGCTTTGCTGGAACATGAGTTTAGGTGTAAAAAATGTGCAGTCCCTTCCAGCGAGGTGCTTAGCAAAGAGGAGATTCCAGTTGGAAGGAGGGTGTATATACCACATGGTGTGAATGTGGTTCCAGAACTCTGGGTGGTGACAGGGCACTCCTGCCTCCCACCCCTGACAGATGAGTCACACACAACCTTTGCCTTTCTGGAGACCAGAACCAGAAGTGGAATGGGTGGGGTGCTCCTGGCTGGGCTCTCTCAGTACGTGTGAGGGGTTGGAACAGGGCTGCCTGCCCAGCCAAGGGCTGACTATGAGCTGCCCGGGACCCTGACCTCACATCTCCTTCCACAGACAACAAGGACATCCTGCTGATGCTGAGTGACATGGACATTAACGCCATTGCTGGCACCCTCAAGCTCTACTTCCGGGAGCTGCCCGAGCCCCTCCTCACAGACCGACTCTACCCAGCCTTTATGGAGGGCATTGGTGAGGCCCCTCAGGGATGGGCTGGGCCACACAGGAGACCACATCTCTGGCTCCCCTTGTTCATCAGTGCTACCCTGTGTGCCTAGAGGGTGCCATGTGGCCCACTGGTGCTGACCTAGAACTGGACCCTCTCAGCTGCCTCTCTCCCCTCACTGACTCCATGGACTACTCTCTCTACTTCCTACTTGGACAGTAGACTCCGTGCTTGGGAACTGAGGTGGGCAGTCAGGGGCCAGCAGCCTGGAGATGGCTTATAACCACACTGTCATCCTCTTACCTTACACCCTGAGTCAGGGAGAGAGCGGAAGGTCCCAACTGGCAGGGCCCAGGAAGCCCTCTGGGCTTTCTCTTCTCCTGGCTGAGATGAGTGAGCCAGTGTGCAGGGAATGAGGAGCCCTGAGCAGGCTGCCGCCTCAGCAGTGGTTGAAGAAAAGACATTCACACCATTGGCAGCAAATGTCACCTTTGTCTTAAAACAGCCTGAGGGTGCCGAAGGCCTGGGCAGAAGGGAAAGCAGGAGGTCTGCTCCCTCAGCCCACCAACTCTGTCTTCTGGCTGACTTACCAGTTGTTGGGGAGCCTCTGGTAGGAACCAACTGGTACAGCACGTTCAGACAGCAGGTGCTTCTGTGCATGGTCAGTCTGGGCTTTCCCCATCCCTCTGGGTCCCTCAGCCTGACAACCTGTCTCCCTGTCTGTCCCTCAGCCCTGTCAGACCCTGCTGCCAAGGAAAACTGCATGATGCACCTGCTCCGCTCCCTGCCCGACCCCAATCTCATCACCTTCCTCTTCCTGCTGGAACACTTGAAAAGGTACTGGGGCCCAGGGGACAGCCCAGGGCAGAGCAGGGACCCCACCTCCCTTCTGCCTTGTGGGTGCTGGCCTCTGCTGTGGCACCCATCGTGGGGGAGAGCTGGCTTTTTTACAATCACTGGGCCCCAACTTATCCCTGCTTCATTTAGTCAGTGTGGCGCTTTAAAAATGAAGTAGACCAATGAAAGCGGTTCAGTGTGAGTATTGCTGTTCTGTTCAGTTATATGTAGACAGGTGGAGCACAGGAGTCCCTGAGCAACGTAATAGTTAAGCACTCAACCACAAGCAAAAGGTGGGTGGTTCAAACCCACCCAGAGGTACCTCAGAAGACAGGCCTGACAGTGTGCTCCTGAAAGGGCGCTGTCCACAGACCCCAGAGAGCACTTGTATATCACATGTATGGAGTCGCCGCCAGGCAGCACGGACTAGATGACAGCTAACCTCTGGGGCACAGTGTAACGTGGTTTGTTCTTGTGGGTTATTGTCAAGAAAGCATGAAACCCACTGCTGTCTAGCTCCATGTGTCACTTAACAGATAGGAAAACAGGGTCCCCAGTAGTGGCAAGAATTTCTTGAGCTAGCAGCAGATTTGTCTCTAAATGCACATCTCCCCAAATCTCCCAAATCCTAAACTAAGGTCATTCTCACCCTTCCACCACCTCCACCCCATACACACCGGACATACCAGGAGCTGCTGGAGCTGAGACCTGCAGTAAATTTCAGAACTGAAACTGGTCCTGAAAGAGTCTTTGTCACTCGCATTGTGTGCATGTGGGGAGAGACCTATAACCAGATGCCATCATTTGAACCATTTTTTGTGTACCATTCAGTGACACTAATTCCATTTATTGTATTGCATAGCCATCACACTAGCCATTTCCACATTTTTCTTCACCCTAAATGGTATTCCGTTGCTGCCCCGTGAGCACTGAGTGTTCCCACTTCCTCCTGCCCCAGCCTGTGGGGATGTTGGTAGGTGCCGTTGTGTTTGTCCCTCTGTATGTCTTACATCATCGTTGCAGCCACTGTGTCAGTCTATCTCCTTGAGGGTCTTCCTGGTTTTTGCTAACCCTTGACTTTGCCAAGCAAGATGTCCTTCTCCAGACCGATCTCTTCTGACATGTCCAAGGTACACGAGACAAAATCTTGCCATCCTGATTGCTAAGCAGCAGTCTGGCTGTGTGGTAACCACTATGAAACTGTGGTCTCTACGCATTTGCCTATTCGAGATAGTTCCTATAAATGGGATCATGCAACACTTTTTTTGTATCTTAATTCACTCAGCATATTTCCCAGGCTCATCCATGTCTATGTCACACTCACTTTTGGGCTCAGTCCTGTCCTGGACATGAGTGAGTAGGCAAAGTCACAGGGTGCTCCCTACATCCGCTTGTCCCCCAGGAAGAGACTAGGGAGCCCCCGAGATAGGGCTGTGAGGAGGAGAGGCGGCTACTCTCTGGGACTAGTTCCACCTTGAGGCTCAGGCGCTCAGCCTAGCCAGCTCAGGAGGGGCCATTGCGGCTGCTGTCTTGTTTTTCCCATTGTGAGACACTTTTCCCTTTGGTTTGGCCAGCGCCAGAGCCCCAACCAATCCCCAAATAATTTGGCGTGTGCTGGGAGGAGCACAGAGGAGGAGTGGGAAGGGAAAATTCATTAGGTTTTCCACCCTGGGAACTGGAATCCGGGCACAGACTGTTCCCACATCTGGGCCCCTGGCCCAGGCTGTGTGTGTGTGAGAGAGAGAGTGTGAGTGTGTGTTGAGGGGCTGGGCCAGCAAGCCACACAGCTGCCTCCTGGCATGGCAGTGTTAGCCTGCCTGTTTCCAAAGCAGCTAGTGGGTACCTCCATGGCTTGCCTAGAGGGTAGGAATGACAGTATCCTAGTGAGTGGAGCAAGACAGGGGTCCTCAGCTCCAGAGACATTTCCTCTGACTACAGAGACCTGCCTGGATGGCAGCCCCTGCCTGTGGCTTGGGAAGTATCTGCAGAACATCTGGACTCTTATGCAAGAGAAGCAGAGGGAATCCAAAGGGAGGCAACTCTGGGGTCCCCTGAGGCAGACCCTCTAGAAAGGCATGGGAGGACATCCCCTGGGCTCCAGCTGGGATATGAGAAAGGTTTCTATGTGGTTCACAACTGCTATTGGGGCTCCAGCGCCCCCACCCTGCCAACCTTTCTCCCTGGCCCAGCCCCATCCATTCTGACTCTTCCTCCCGGCTACTTACCATGTCTTCTTTTTGACCAGTGGTGAGTAGCAGGAATGGTTGAGAACCTGGACTCTGGGGGTACACAGCCTGGGTTCAAATCCTTGTTTGACCACATACTGCTGCATGACTTTGGGCAAGACCGATAAGGATGAGTTTGTAGGGACAGCTCTTAACAACAGTAGTATTACTTCCTCTGAGACACAGGAGTTTGTCATAGGGTGACCTATCTTGTAGGAATGTCCTGGGACATAGCAGCTGGGCCAAGGCTGGCCAGGGCCCCAGGAGGTCTCTACCCTGCAGCACTTCTTACTGGGAAGGCTGGGGGTCCTGGAGCGCAGAGTGACTGCTGAGCAGTGAACACTCTTCTCAAACCTTTCTGCTCTTTCAGGGTTGCTGAAAAGGAACCCATCAACAAAATGTCCCTTCACAACCTGGCTACCGTGTTTGGTCCCACGTTACTGAGACCCTCAGAAGTGGAAAGCAAAGCACATCTCACGTCGGCTGCAGACATCTGGTCCCATGATGTCATGGCACAGGTATGACCAGCACTAGCTGATGGGATTCAGGGAAGCAGGGCAACGCACACAGTTCCACCCCTCTCAGACCAGACCAGGTACCCAGAGACCATGTGCCTCTGGAGCTGACTGCATTCCCTGGGTAAAGGAAACAGCAGGGGACCCCTCAGGCCAGGCCAGCAGCAGAGCTGCCAAGCCAAATCTAACCTTGGGATGAGGTAGGGGATTGGAAGCTGCTAGCTACCCACACCTTGCCATGCAGCGCCCTCTACTGCTAAAGATGAGCAAACACAGCTGGGCTTCCAAGGACAGCAAAGTTCCAGCATCACCCTGGAGGAACAACACAGACTTAGGGGCCATTCCTACTTAATACGTCAGGGCCCAGCCTCAGTCTCCCTCTTTTCCCCACAGGTCCAGGTCCTCCTCTACTACCTGCAGCACCCCCCCATCTCCTTCGCCGAACTGAAGCGGAACACACTGTACTTCTCTACAGACGTGTAGCCTGTGGGGGCCGGCCAGCGCCTGCCTCTCCAGTTGGGAGGCCCAACACAGACTTGAAAAACTGCAGTAGAGAACTCCCAAACCCAGCACTCCAGACCACAAGGGAAGCAGATTTCTAAGAACTGGAAGATGTGTATCTTTTCTGCCACCTTGTACAAAGCCAGATGACCCAACCCCCAGCCCTGACCACCGCTCGGACTCCTGCCCTCTGTATCTAGTTGTGTCTAATGCTCCATGCCGTCCGGGACTTGTTTTATGTCTATTTGTCATGCAGAAAAGGTGACTGACCCGGTCTGGGCACACGGGACAGCCTGCTTTGTTCTTTCATTTCCTCCAACACGTTCTTTTCTTCTGAGTCCAGTGCAAGGGCTTACTCTTGCTCTGTCTCACTGCTGCCAGCTTATCCTCTCCTGGCCCTGCTCCCAGATTGCAGTCTCCTGGCAGCCTTTCCTTGGTTGTGCCTGCCCTTGCCTCCCGCCCACATGCATGTGTGGCCTCGGTCTCTGCTCCATCACCTTGGGCGTTCTAAGGAGGCCCTGGGTGGCCGCTGCTGCCCCCAGCCCTCCCTTGCCCTCTGCCTGCAGAAGCTCATCTGCTGCCTGTGCAAATGTTGGACAAGGAGACAGAACCACACTAATCCCTGGCTTAGCACAGAGCTGGAGAACAGATTTCTGGAATTTTCCATTTGAGACTCTCCATTTCTGGGGTTTATCTGTTCTGTCTCCTGCCTTCCAGTGAGGTATTTTTGACTGTTTTTGCCTTTCTTTCTACTGCTTTTCTGTTCCTTTTCCCCTGGTGTTCTGTTTCCTTTGAGTGTAAAGACTTAACTACAAGTGACCTGCTATCAAGATAGCCAGAGGGTCAGGAAAGGGTCTATGGGGAGGCTGGCAGAGTCAGGCTGCTGAGGAGACAAGGGCTTGAACTGTCAGAGTGCTGTGCCATGCAGTACGGGTGTCTGAGTTGTGGGGATCTAGCCCTGGGAGCAAGGAGTGGCAATAGCTTTTCTAGGGAACCAGGCTTCCCGGAGGGCAATATGGCTGAAGCAGGTGCCTGGAACAGGCAGGCTCCATCCAGGAGGCTAGGCATTCCCCTGGCACCTCACGTACCTCACGGTACTTTTGCCTTAGATTTTACACATCCTCCACAGCCAAGCACTGCCCCGGGGTAGCCTCCTGCTGAGTGTGCTCCAGGCCTGTGGGAGAAAAGGCAGAGGCTGGCAGTAGCCAGTGTATGGTGCTGCCCCGCCCTAGGGGTGAACTCCAGGAAATGCCCAACTTTGGGAAAGAAGGAAACACAGGCCTCTGTTGGCACTGGGCTTTGCTGGGGACCCCATGTTGACACTGTGGAGTAAGAGACCAGCAGCCGGTTGCATCTTTAACCTGAAGATGTACTGCTCAGTTCTGGACTGTGCCCCAACGTGCGGTTTTCCCAGAGCAGTGACAACCTGGGAGGGTGGCTCGCTGGTCTCCGACTGGGAAGAAGGCAGGCACCTGGTCCTCAGACAAGAGGAAAGGGGTTGCCATAGTTAGTGTTCAGAACTGAATCTTAAGAGTTTACTGGCCCGGAGACTGAAGCGCTTGCTCAGTAAGAGACAAGCCCTATCTGATCCTTGTTTGCCCACTGCTCAAGTCTTGGGCAGCATGGTGGTACATGGTTCTGTGTGTGTCAGAGGAGAGATGCCTAAGAAGGCAGAAATACTACCCAACTACCTTCTAACAGCTCAGCAGGGTGCCCTGCTCCCTGGGATGGGAGGTGAAGGAGAAAAGGGCAGTGGTGGAATTTGAAGACCCCAGCGTCCCTGGATTCTCTGTTGGGCCCTCAAGGGTCAGTCTGTGGCTGGAAGTTCTTGCTTACTTCTAAAGTGGTTGACAGTGGCGGACAGGGTGCCCAACTGGAGTTGGCTGTAGCCAGAAATGGGTGCCTCCCACCTTCCAAAAACCAATAAAGGGAAGATTTGCTTCTTAGCATCAGAGTACCTACCACAGTCCTCCAGCTTGCTTAGACAATGTGAGAGCAGGAAGAAGGCTGGAAGGGCTGAGAGATACAAAAGGCTCATCATATTTATAAACTCTGCCCCCAGAGTGGGTAGGAGTGGGTACCAGACCTGGACTAGAGGGCACTGAGAAAATAACCTGTGGGCACACACACATACACAGCCACGTGCCTGGTAGCAGGCTTTGCTCCCAAGAGCTCAATTGACGGGCAACAGGAATCCCGGTCATCCTGTCCCTACCAGGCAGTGACTGAAGCTGCCAAGGGTATTTACTGATACAGTCAGAATGGGACCCTTCATTAATATTGGACTTTAATAAGTTGGTAAGGATATATATTTTTTTTTGTCTATGTTCTGTTTCAACCTATGTAGATTATTATAAATTGATGTAAACCAAGTGAGAGGAAAACGTTAATTAAAAAAAAAAAAAAAAAAACCCTGTAAAGCCCCAACATTTGCATAAACCTCAGCCCTGTGGTGTGGATGTTTATATCTCCGTTGTCCAGGAAGACCACCAATCTAAATATTTAACTCTTCCAGCTGTGTCCAGATGTGTTTCCAGGAACCTGTTTACCTAGTTAACTCCCCTTAAGTCTTCCCTTTGGTCTAAGGGGATTGAGAGAGCTTGGGGGGTCGGGGGTTGGTGAGCCCAACCACTGTCTTTACTCTTCCCTAAGACCTTCAGGCTAACCACCAGCCAGCCAATTTCTGGCCTTGCCTTCAGCATCTGCTGCTAGCTAACAAAATACAAGTGCTCCACAAAGGGCCGGTCATACAGACCTGTATGCCTCAGTGAAATGGCAGCAAGTTGTCTGTTACAGTTTTCTTAGTGTTTCCCTTTGAAGTGATCCGTCTTTGGAGCAGCCAAAGATGTTGGAGCACAGCCTGTTTGTTGTTAACTGCCACTGAGTTGGTTCTGACTCAGTGGCCCTATATAGGGTTTCTGAGGAGTGGCTGGTGAGTTTGAACCACCGACCGTGCAGTCCAGTGTTTATCCTCCAGTGCCACACCAGGATTCCAGCCTCCCTTTAGGCGGAATTAAATACAGGCACTCACCAGCGGAAACCATGGGAAACACTGTTTATTCTGGAGATCAGGAACAGATGTCTTGTGAGAATTGGTGTTTGGTTTATGAGCTCATGCTGGCTCCCTAGCCATCAAAAACAGGAAACTATTCATCTCCTCTCTTGACTGATAGACAGAGTGGACAATGCTTGGTTTATTGGACTGATGGCTACCGACAGCCCTAAGGCTCATCTTTTTCAAGGCAGTAGTGAGGGGCAGCAGTCCCCATATGTCCTTGCTCAGTGTTTTTGGTGCCATGGTTAGATGGACTGGCAGAATCCTGGGTTCCCCAGCACTTGGGCAGGTGCTAGGTGGAAGTATGACTGTCCCTACTTTCAAAGTGCTGACAGTAGTAAGGACGCAGACTAGGGAATACTTCTAAATGTGCTGTCACACTCTGGGGCGGTGCCAAGACTGGGATGGACATTACATAGACTTCACCATGGAAGGACCTGAGCCCTGGGTGCTCGCTCACATTCCCAAGTAAACATGGAGACGGCCTAAGGAAGGTGTATGACATCATCACTCACATACAAATACACACTCAGATGCCTGCACATTGAAGCTGCCTTTAAATTCCAATTAAACAATGATAGCAGTCATCTAAAGGAGCTCTGGTAGCGTAGTGGTTACGAATCGGGCTGTGAACCATAAGGTCAGCGGTTCGAAACTACCAGCTGCTCCGCAGGAGAAAGATAAGGCTTTCTACTCCCGTAAAGATTTACACCCTCGGAAACCCTGTTACAAGGTCGCTATGGGTCGGAACCGACTCGATGGCACTTAACAACAACAACAACAGACTAGAAGATGGCTGATAAGAGAGAAGAGTTACCGTACAGTGGGAAAAAAAGGTGAAATTACCAACTGGCTAGGGGTGGCCAGATTTACATGGCCCCCACCAAACTTGCCTGCCTGCCCTGCCAAGAGCAAAAGTCTGAGGCCATCAGCTATAGTTTGCCACTAAAGCAACAAAGTCAGGAAGGACCAGTGGCGGATTCCAGTTGTAAAAGCGTATTTTCTACTTATGGCACACAATTAGGCTGACCACAGTCACTAGGTCAAGTCAAAAGCACTAATATTTAAACAAGCAAAACACCGATACTGGAAAGCAAAACTGGCGGTCTTAGCCAATAGCTCCTGTGGTTTGGTTATTAGTCAGGTCCTGAAACCCACATGTGATCCACACTGCAGGCAGGCCTAGTAGCCAGCCCATAAGAGGGACTGTTGGAAGATGCTCGTGGGACTTACCCACAAGATGTCAGTGCAGGCTGGGCTGTGGCAGGGAGGCCTGGACAATGTACAGTCTTAGAATCTAACATCACCACACTTCTCAAATGCTTTATCACTCATTCTCTTAATGATCATTCTTTGGGCCAAATGACACTTTTTCAGGGAACTGGAATTTGTAAATAAAAATATATCAACCTTTTCAACCATAATATAAATATATATTTTTTTAAGCAAAGATGGCAGAATGCTAAACAAAATGACACAATTGGTTGGACAGCATGGATTGACTCCCTGCCGCCTCAATATGCAAGCTGGGACAGCTCCCTGGGTGTGGAGAGAACACGCATAACCCCACTGTACCAAACAACCACAGGACCAGCTGTGCTCAGCACTGAGACTTTGTGGCGCTTCCTTCCTTCCTGACTATCAGCAGGTTATCTCCTACCTTCTCTCAGGGAAGAACCTGAGTAGGGTGCCCCCACCAAGCCTGGCTGGAGTCAGGAACAGCAGTGTGGGTGCTCAGGGAGCAGAGGGCAGACTGCAGTCAGGCAGCTCCCTCAGGACAGTCAACAGCCAATGTCTTCAGTCTTTTCAGCCAGTGCCCTCAGTGCAGCAGACTCTGTCCTCCTCTGAGACTGAGCTGGTGCCGTCAGCCTCCACGGGACTTACTTTCACCGGAGGTAATAATCGATTGCAGCAGAGAAAGCTGCGA